TCACGGAACAGCTAAGACACTGCGCAGAACCCTCAAGCTCCCAGGCTTCTGGTAAAGGACCCAAGCTTGGAAGGATGAGACCACCCGTGAACCACCCGCCGATGCCCTTCAGTGCTGTGTCCATGTATAGATCCATGTGCCCGCTTATCTTAGTCGCTATGATGCCTGACAGGAGCTTACATGTTGTGGGGAAACGGGTAACTTGCCGATAGTTGGATGGGACTGTATTGAGGGGTCCTTCAGGATCAGGACTGTGCCCCTTTCAGTTAGCCATGCAGGGTGAGTCGCATTCTTTAGCAGCTGATTCATTTGTGTTACCAGGCGCTAATGGAGTGCGGTGAGCTTCTTAAGCCAGTAGATGTGGATCTTGTCAGGCCCTGGTGCTGTCCAGTTTTTCATACCTGACACTCTTTCTTGGATGTCATCCACAGGACACTGGGTTCTGCTCAGGGAGGTTGTGGTCTTCTCTTAGAGAAGAACAGCATTGCTGTTGTGTGATGCCTCTTTCTTCCAAATGCCTTTCCAATACTGTTCAGTCTCCAGCCTTGGTGGGTCTGCCCTGCAGTTATATTTCCACTATGCGTACACTTTAGCTGATTGGGTCAAGAAGCGCTGGTTTATTCATTTGGCTTCACTTTCTCTCATGCATCTCTTTATCGCCAAAGCTTGGATCCTTGTTTGGCAGTTTCTAGTGCTTCAGGGCTCTTCGGTACCGTTTTTCTCATTGTGCCTTTCTGGAGCTCTGACAATTGGCTCAAATCTCTCCATGCTACCTTGATTTTGGCCTCCAACCTTCTTTTCCATGGTGCGTATTGTTTCTCATGGTTGCTCATGTTCTTATAGCCAAGAATATCAATGATCTCTGCTGTTGAAGTGTATATCAGCTCATTAGTTTCAGTGATGTTGGTTGTAGGAATAGTTCTCAATGCTGCATTTACATTTTCCATGATTTCTGATGATACTTCACTCAGCCGTTGCAGTTGGCGTCAAGGTTGCCTGGTGTTTATTTGTGCCATTATCCCATCTCTCAGGTCAGTTGCTGCCTTGTTCAGAGTTGTTTCACTTATTGGGGCTTCGTACCCAGTCTCTGGATGGGGAGTTGATGTTAACTCCCCTCTGACCTTGTGCCCTGGCTCCCCCTTGCCCTAGCATTTGTGTTCTATCTTGTCAATCTCAAATTGTGATAGCAGTTGCCATTTTTAAACATAGCATTTTATTAAATTGTACTAAATTCAACCTTTAAGTGTTGATTTGCAAAAAAAAAGAAGACGATATTTTAACTCATGGAGGCTGCAGTTCTGTTGTTGCATGAGCCATGGACGTAGTTTTGGGGGACACAGGGGGGACATACCCCCCCCCCCCCCCCCCAACACACACACACTTTTTCCAAAGACAATTCTTTTCTTTTTTTTCCACTGCCACCTGTGTACTTGACAGTTCTGCGTTCCTGACAATGCATAAAAGAGCCTCTAGCCTGTAGTTTAATTACATATTTTTTCTATGCTAACTGTAAAGATCCCTTCCCCCATCCTCATGCCGGCAGAAAGATCTCATCAGTCCTACAAACACTAAAATGTAACAACCAATTGTCATGAGCCGGGGTGAGTACTCGTCACATCATTCACCACCTTTGAGCTCTGATTACAGGAGAGGGAGCAACAGCTGTTTCTCATCAGCGGGCCGGCTATATAAGGAGGAGGAGGACCAGATTACGACGCCGGATGATTGCCGTTCACTGGTAGTCGCTTGCCTCCGAGTTTTTCGCTCTGTTTGCTCTTTGATATTTGAACTTTGAATTTTTGGAATATTCGCTCATTAATGTTTGATACCTACCTCAGGTTCCTGGATTTCTGGATTACGTGCTCTGCCCCTGGAAGGAAATCTCTGGTTCATTCCTGTATCTCCTCTGCCTGCCGACCCGCTCTCCACCTCGCTCACGCTCCCTCTCCGGATCAATATCCTCGCTCATTCTCCTACTCACCTTCATCTTGGACCGCTTCCTCATCTTGGATATCACCACGGCTCACTCCCCTCCTAACAACAACTTCACTTCCGCACAGTAAGTCAGCCTTCAAATCAAAGACTCCCGGAACTACAAACACCAGACTCACCTCTGTTTTCCTGTAGACGCCGGTTCCAGATTCTGCAACCCGCTGGATTTCAGTGCGCCCTTAGTTTTCCCGTTTAATAAATATCATTTTACCTTTTACTATCCAACTTGTCTCCGGTCTCTGATTCTGCATGTCTTGGGTTAAGCACATACCTCAGAACATAACACCAATAGCATTCAATAGAAGCTTTCCAATCTTAGCCAATAAATTTAACAAACTGTTCATGTCCAGGATGATAAATCTTGCAGAGGTGTCAATCAAGAGCATGTGTGACACGTATCCTTTTTTTTTACATTACTGTCCTAAAAAATTGATCTTGATTTACAGAAAAATGGTAAAGAAGACAAAATCAAATCAGAATGCAAAGTGTTTCACATGTGTTGTTTAAGCTGCTGCGTCTACAACCAAACTCAGAACATAGTGAAAAGAATTATAAAAACAACCAAAAGGAAATTGCATGAACAATTTTTACAGCTAAATCAATGACAGAAACTGACAAATGTAGTGAAGTGTAGCGCCAATGCCCTATACACTGGCACTACCTGGTAGCTGTTGCGGGTGGTCTTTACGTGTGCTTTAAGAAATGCAGCTTGAGTTTATTTCCGATGTTTATTATTTTGTCTGGTTCCAAAAATGTCCATGATGATCCATTTACAGCAGTTAAAGTGGGTTTCAGTGCATGCGTTACTTGCCCCAGTGACAATCCGCAGAGTCCGTTACCCCAGCCACAGTCCTCGCCACACAGTAAAAAACTGTTTGTCCCATCCAGCCAACCCTGAGTCCAATCTGTGTTGGCTTAAGTAGGCTGGTGCTTCCACAAGCAATTAACCAATAATATTAGGCCAAGCCTCCTCTCAAGTGCACAAAAAGAAATGACACATATGGCTCCTACATGTAGTTTTATGACATATTGTGCTTTATCCTGTAAATTGTACTGCAGAACAAAAAAAAAAAAAAAACAAGAGTGCTCATAAATGATTATAATTTAAATGGACAGAGAAATTGGAAAATTGGTTTCATTTTAATCATTTGGACAAAACACCAAAACGTGAATTGTTTCCTTATGTTTATTTGTTATATTTAACACACAAATCACAAGTCTCCCTGAAAACAATTACATATTTTATTCCAAATTTATTGCTGATCATCTAAGTGTATTTTCTGTTTTTCTTTGTTTCAGCTTCTGTCTTTTGCATTGTTATGCTAAATGAGCTGCTGTCTATCTTGGCCTGTACAAGATGTATTTGAAAGTAAATAAATAAAACACCCGTAATCCATCCATCCATTTGCATCCTCCTATGATGTTGGGTCTTGGGAGTAACAGGTTCAGCCACAAGTCAAGACACCTGATAGGTCTCTAAAGAAGAACTGCTAATTAACTAACACCCCCCAAACGACTTAGTTATGTTGGTAAAGGTATCTTGCTTTCATTTATTTTTTTCTCATTTATTTTTACATTTGTTTTGTATTTTTGAGAGATGTTTGCTATTCGTCTGTAGATGAACATTTTCCAATTTGTAACAAAATTCAGTCAAACAAATCTGGCCGGACATTTAGCGTGGTGGTGGTGCTACACCTAATGGTCCAGTAGGTGGCGGTATTCGTCTGAAAGTTGTCTGCGACCTCAACAAATCACAAGAAGAAGATGGCGGAGCTTCTGGAGTTGATGGCACGGTAACTGTACAGAAAATGTTGATGAGGAAAACTCTTAGACATTTGCATTTCTTTTTAAGTCTATGGGAAAACTAACAGAGATGTGGAGACAACAGGTCAAAGACGAACATGGTGCAGTAAGAGAAGAAACGCTGGAGACTTTGGAAAAAACAGACGCAGATTGCCAACACAAAGTGTCGCTTTCAAAGGACAGTGAGCGGCAGAGCAAAAGCCCAAATGCTGTCCTCAACCCCAAAGATCGGCTGCACCGTATAGGTTCGTATATTTTCGGGTTTCATATTTATCATTTTAGTCGCCGTCCTCGTGGAGCTAAAGGACTTCCTTTCCAAACTACTGCTTGCTGTCGGTGACCATGTTTGTAGCTTAGCATGCTAACTGAAGAACGGGCCCATCCCATTTTAGTGCGTTACGTCAAAATATGTTCCCCATTTGAAAACCGCCTTCACCTGTCTACATTTCCAACCATCAGAGGGTGTAGCCCTCCTTTACTTTGTATGTTTTTTTTTATATAAGAGGATAAAAATCTCAAGATGTGAAGCAACGAAGCAGTTTTAAAAGTAAATACGAGCCATCAACGATGTGTTTCCCCGGCTATGATACATCTAATTCCAGGGGCGATTGTAGCATAAGAGGCTTTGGGGTGCTGAGCTCCCAGAGAGCTGCCCAGCCATGCAGAATGAATTTCAACATCTTGTACATTTTATCGCAATTTCATTGCCACATTTGTGAAAGAAAAGACAAAACACCGTTCTCACAAATCAAATTATGACTTTCCATATCACAGTCTGTTTAACCGCACTGATAGTAAAATCTGTTGAACATATTTTGCTATCAGTGCAGAACAATCTGGGCCAGTTTGAAAGAGTCTTGGTCAGTGGTTCCTAAACCTTTTGCCCACTTGCCCAGGCCAGCCCTTAAATTTTAAACCTAATAGGAACAAAATTATGATTTTTCTAAAATTACAACAAATCTACAGTAGAAATTTAAGGGACAGAAAAGAAAAATTGCTGACTTTAATCTCTGAAAAAAGTTGGATCTAATCTTAATGTTCTGACTTTTTTCTTAGAATTCATGTAATAAATCATCAAGGCTTTAATCCAGTTATTTTTAACTGTCCTTTAATGTGCTTTAAAAGGGTTTGGCTTGTGTGAAACAACACAACGGCTGCTCCTTTTCTCTGTTAGAATCTTATTTGGTCTTTAGCACCAACCTGTCCCTGAGGAACCTACTTTTGAGCAATAGTGTGACACAGAGAAATTACTCTGGAACATCACAGACTCTGTTAGAGTCGCCCTGAAAAGAGTTTACCAATCAGTAAATGCCTTTAGTCCGTATTATAACATCTTTTTTTTTTTGCTCATCTCTTTGTCCATGCTCACTCTGATGTTTCCTTTTGTTTCTATGATTCGTGAGCGGTGGAGTGCTCTGGACCTGCGTTAAAGTCCCGCCTCCCAATTTGATTGACAGTCACTCCTTTCACCACACAATTAGTTCATGCAAGATTTAAACACAAAACGGGAGACTGTATGTGTAATGGTGTTATTTTACAACTCTGGTCAAGTTAAGAATTATAAAGCAGCAAAAAATGGTTATGTTACAGTGAAGGTGAGCAGGGCGTGTTGCGGCACAGCTGTTGACATTATTGGTCAAGTAGAGCAGATAGGTATTGCTGCTGGTATTGATATTAACATTAGTTAATTACAAATTAAAAATCAGGGATGCACCAATACCAGGGTACTAGTATCGCTATTGGCTCGATACGTGCATGTTTCTTTTTACTTGTATAAAGTGCCCCGATACTACTCAACCAGACACTGACCACATGGGTCCACCATGGTGGACATTAGAGCTGAAACAACTAATCGATTTAATTGATTATAATCGATTATTAAAATGGTTAACAACTTTTTTAGTCATCGATTAGTTGTTTAATAATCACATTTTACCACATAAAGTCTATTTTTACCACAATCTGTTAAATTTGCCGCCAGTGTGTGGCAGTAATGAGCCACTGATCTACCAGTGGAGCCGTAGAAGAAGAAACGAGCCAATAAGTGCCCTCGGTTTTCATGACGTATCACGTTACTGACGCGCATCTTGCTGTGAGAGATGGTGGAACAAGAACAAATACGGAAGAAAAATAGAAGCGACAAAACTTAAGAGAAACCCCGGACAAAAACCTCACGAGTATGGGAGCACTTCACTCTAGATGCCATGAAAAGACGGGTGACCTGCAAAATATGCCAAAACCATCTAGCATGGCATGGAAGCACGACGTCCCTAAGTGAACATTTGAGACGAAAACATGTGGGGGCTGATGCAGCAGAGTAAGAGCCAGCTCGGTAAGTAACAGAAAATGAACAAGCTAAATATAGTGGTCCATCACTACACGCAGATAAAATTTGGGACTTAGTGTTTTTGCTGAGTTCGTTATGGTGGATGTTAAACATGTTTTTTTGCCGCGTCAGTCTACGGTGTTCTACTTCTGATTGACTAGATGCAATCGTGAATCTCCTCCGTGTTGCTTGCCAAATTTAGCACGTCTGTTTATAAGAATGTTCTCGTTAAGAGAAAAACGGCACAAACCCATAACTATGTTCCTCATTCAAAAAAGGAAAACTCAGCGGAGAAAAATATTGATTTAGTGTTGTAGTGTCTGTGCTGCTTTATTTTATATGTGTACTTATTTAAGTCTATTTGCGTTTCTAATGCAGAAAAAAACAAGCAACGATGGACAACTACATGGGGAACAAGACACTCACCCCCCAGCAATGCATACCACTTACAAACTCTATTCTAAACTTGCTGATAAAAGACATGAGGCCACTATCCTTGGTGGAAGGAGCAGGCTTCCAGCTAATGCTAAAGCAGTTTAACCCAGGTTACTCCATCCCCTCCAGAACACACTTTGCTAAATTGCTGGAAAAGAAATACCAAGACACCATGAATCAGGTTAAAGATACTCTCTCAGTAGGGCTGTCGCGGTTGAGGAATTCCCCCTGCGGTGATTCAGGGTGGCTTAATATTGCGGTGTGCGATATTATTGCAGCACTTTTTTTTTTATTGCAGTACTATCTAAACATAATGTTTACACATTTAAAAAAGGTTAAAAATTGCCGTGCCTTCTTTTATAACACTTCACTGAATGCAGATTAAAGGGCAGTAACATCACAGATCGCAGTAACGTTTGTTTCTCCGACAGTCAGAGTCCGACTGAACTTAAAAACAACAAAATTCAGGAGAAGGTTAAACTTTTAAATGCAAATTTGGCTGCAGCATCTAACAAATAAGAAACAATTCCCCATTTTGTTTAGTTGTTTAAACTCAAGCATAAAAAATTACATGTACCGGGCGGGGGGCACTATCATTTCACTTTCACACACACGAATGACGGTGCTTTATAGCTCGGTCATGTCCTTGTTACCCACAAGCAAAACCAGCATGTTAACCATATAAGGTTTGAGAGAGGATCTGAGAGGGGTGGCTTTATTTCCAGCAACACTGAAAACCCTCTCGGATGGTGCGCTCGTTGCACTAACGCACACGTACTTGCGTGCGACTGGCGAGCAAAGGGAATCTCTCCCGGTTGTTGCTCCACCATGTCGGGGGGGGGGTTCTTTAGGGTCGATGCATTCCTCCTACAGGTAGCGAGTGAGCTCCAGCTCAGCTCAAACTCTCTTCGGGACGGTTGCAGAAGCAGTGCTTGTCCGGGATAGGGCTGTAGCGAAGCCTCGACGAAGTCGACGGCTCGATTCTAAAAATTTGTCGACGTCAGATCCGGAAGTCGACGCACCGCGCCCACTTGTTGCATCCCCAGGAGTTTGTAAATAGAGGAGGAATCTGCCTGTTTTTCCTCTAGTTCGCCCTCTTCTCCGCCTTCACTAACATCTCCGCCAAATACCGAAGACCCGGAACAACGTCCGTCCACTACTAGATTATTTTCCTGTTTTGCCCCTTCGTCTCCCGGCAACGGACAACAACTTCCGGGGTCAGATGCGCTGCTTCGTGTCTATCGCAGATGTAGAAAATCACCGGGAGCGCTTCTCCCTTCATTAAGGAGCTTCTTTCAGACATGAGGAGAGCTGTTTTGGTGGTAGCAGTCTCTCCTCCGTGCTGGTCTGTTTGCTGCCGGGTGTTTTTGGTTTATTTAAACTTGGTTACTTGAACTTAACGTTGGTAAAGCTACTGTTAGCATCTTCGCTAACAGCTTCTTGCGTTGGGATAAGCTGTTACGTTTTGGTTTAGAGTTCATCTTTTTTGTGGTGTAGATCTCCCTTTTATTACATTTAGAGTGTTGTGGGTTTTCGGTTTAGTATAAAATATCACCTGAGTTTGGTTTAACCCGTAAGACCACTCGCCTCACGCACATAAGTGACCAAAACAAAGCAGCATGGAGACACTCCATCTTCTACCACCTCTCAGGCAGCAGCCTGCACTCCCAAGTTCTACACGTCACCAGAACATAACCAACCAACACAATAAACGCAGTGTTATACAAAATGGAAGGCCTGTAGTGTTTATTCTCTTACAGTAAGAATTTATCAATTTTTTTGAGGAATTTATTTGAGATTTTCTGGTTTTTGTTAATTGTGCAATAGAAAAATAATCATTAGATTAATTTTCTAAATAGTCATTAGAATAGTCGACTATTCGATAAAATAATCGTCAGAATAATCGTTTTAAAAATAATCGTTTACCCCCAGCCCTAGTCCGGGACTTCAGCAGGTCTCCGAGCGTTTATTATTATTTTTTTGCCGCTGGTGGCAGCTCTGTCTCGGCCAAGGACTCTGGCTGTGCAGCAGCTGACGTACTGAAAACCAAAGTGCTCCCAAAGGAGCAAAGGAACGTTTCGTTTTGATACCAGTGCAGCCATCCTTCTCAACATGCATCATTGAGTTGAATCAAGTTCAGTAATTGCAGTGGCCCATGATGCAGTGCGGTGGGTTTCTTCATATTGCGATATTTCATTTTTGCAGTTACCGTGACAGCCCTATCTCTCAGCCTTGGACAGCCAAATTGCCATAACAGCCGATATCTGGACAAGTGTGGCTAATGAGGCATACCTGGATAAGGGGAATTAAAAATTGCTCTTTAACCAAGTTGTTTTGAACAACATTTGCACTTAAGCTAAGTTTACACTGTTACACTGTGTTTGTGTTCAGGTTGAGTCGTAAAAATGTTAAATGCACAATTGTTAGTAAACACTAGTTTTCTTATTCAAAAGGTATCAACATGATGCAGCTAAAGTGTTCAGT